CTCATGTACCATCCCACGAAGTTCTCCGGAACGCACACCAATTCAGAAGATGCCTGGGGAGATCTTAGGGACATGTGTTTGCTGTGAGGCTCAACTGCAGTCCCAGAGTATTCTCGTATGAGAATTGCATCTTATTTCCAGTAACTGATGTTGAGCAGGCATGTTTTCACTACTATGAAAACTTCAATCCCCATTATCACAAAGTGCTAATTCCATAGGTATCGAGCTGCGCTGGACTGTCCTATTTTGATGCAAACTAGTAGAGATATGAGGATAAAAGGAAACTCCTGTCTTGCATGTAATATTTTTGTACTGAAGCTCCTTGTTCACATCATGTCACCTCTGGTGCCCTAGTCTGAGCCACTTGATCACCTGGGTCTCCCTGAGCCTGTGTGTGATCCTGTTAAGCCTGGACTGGGGCTGTAACTGGAGTTCTGTACTCCAGTTCACTCTGGATGCTTAAAATCCTGGTTTTTTTTGTGAATGAAAATACAGGTTCCTTCCTAATATTAACGCTGATGAGTCGCAGTACCCCCTGCACGATGAGAGCAGATGATGTTAACACTTCAAAATATTTATATTCTGTAAATGGTATTCCTGTTTCGAACAAGTTTAATTGGAACAGCAGGTTCCTTACCGAATTTTAAGGGTGCCTGTTTGGGAAAACGAGTAGCTGACCCCTGACACTGTGAAAACTTTTTTTTTTTCCCCAGTTTCAAGCCATCATACACAAGAATTTCTTGTAAAATACGAAGCACAGTGTATTTTAGAGCTTGGGGGCTTTAAGACGAGTTTGTTCAAGATGTTCACAGACTAGGAAAATGAGGGGCAACCTCCACTGCCTCTTTCATCGTGAATTGCTTCAAACAGGATGGCCAAAGATCTCCTTCGGGCGGCTGACTGGCAAACACTGCAGTCGGGTGCAGAGCGAGTCAGATGTTTGAAATAACATTCTGCCTTTGATTAGCTGCTGCAAACTCCACAACACAACCACTCTCCTGCAAGCACGTTCCTGCAATAGGAGTGGTAACACCTAGTCCGTTTACTACCAGCTTAAGCACTTGAAAACAGGCTTTAATGCTTGTCCCATTCGGGCATGCATCGGCCCACTGCGTCGCTTCTGTGCGGCGCTACGGAGCACAACGACTGCTGCTGGCGGGTGCCTCTGCTGCTCGCCCTGAGACCCCACCAGCTGTCCCACAAGTACAGCCTGCTTTCATAGCTCCTGGTCACTCACAAACGCTCTCTGGATTCTTCTTTTGTAAATGTGCCAGGAAAGGGAGCACTTGCCTGCAAGCGAAGAGCCTCAGGAACTTACTGTAGTTGGGAGTCGGAGTGTGAGCTGTGACGCGGGGTGAAACAAGCCTCCTGGGTCTGCTAAGTTTATCCAAACCCAGCAATACTTTGAGCGACTTTCTTAATGATAACATTGAACGTCTTGTTTAAAGTCTTTGCTGGCAATTAGCTAGACCAAAGAAAGGGTCTGGGAGTGGATGCATGTATAAACCCATTTTCTGTAAAATAAATCTGTACATGACCTCAGCCGCGGAGAAGAGATTATCTGTTGTGGCTCATGTATGCAATTTGTCTCCTGTGAGTCAAGAAACTGGTGTTTAGCATGGAGTCCAACTCCAAATTCTTCACCATAACCACCGGGCAAGCACTGATCAAGCTTCCTGAAAGGACAAACCTCGCTAATCCACACACTCTACAGCTCATTCAAAGCAGCAAACAGAGCTGGAGGGAGCAAGGGGAAACACTGACTGATTATTTTGGAGTGGCTCTCGATAAAAATGCTTAAGTGAGCCAGGTGCCTACCACCCACCCAATCTCTGCAGTTAGCAGATGTCAGCATCACATGTGAATTCTGGGGTTTTGCAAGTATTTTTGTAAATTTCGCATGCATGAAGTAATGAAGAAGGTGAACTAAAACTAAACAAGTTATCAAAATAAAGAATCAAGTTACATTTTACCATAAATGTCTTTATTTTTGTTATTGGAGTTGTGTAGTTTTTCATAAAAGGTATTGATCTAGCCAAACACGTGAACATGAGTCAGTCATTGAAGCCAGCAGGATTACTTGTTTGGTGAGAATGAAGCACAAATGTGAATGACAGCGATGAGGTGCTACTGCATACAGTCAACTCCTTGGCGACAGGTTTCCCAAGAATTCTATAATAGTCTAGAATAGGCAAGACCACACTGTGTTTTCATGGCAAGTTGGCACATTTGGATCATAAGCACTTCTGACACTCTTTGCCTGGGGTCGTGGTGAACACCACGGGCTTCACAGGAGCTGGATTCTCACTGTGTGAGATCAGCTCCTCTTAGGAAATATATCTGTGAAAACTAGACCCATGCTGTTTTGCAATGAGTAGAATAGCAGATTTTCAGATCTTAGCCTTACGGTAACAGCTTCTAGGAGGAAGGTAGCAATTAAATCACTATGGTTTTGATAATCTTAGAGAAAATTCATTTAAGAAAATCATAAGGCATTATCCTGCAGTAGGAATTACATCGCTGACCAGATCTAATCTCCGTTTAGGTCTTAACGCAGTCAGTAGGATTTATTATAATGAATTAACATTTGTAGAAAAGGCATACATAAGTCAAGTACAAGTATTGCTAAATTAATTCCTCATACAAAGTATACGAATAATGCACTGTAAACAACTGCTTCTTGTAGGTGCTTCAGTTTCCAGGCTTGAATAGTTGCTTGTCATCTTTGGTTAATGCAAGACTTCTGTCCTCAGGAGATCCACTGCAACAGCTGAACTTTCACAAGCTGATTACCCGATTCCATGTACTTTGAAGAACAAATGTTTTGTTCAACCAGATCAACGTGTAAACCAAAACAACCAAGTGAACTGTATTTTTTATGTTGCTACGATACGAACATGTGCAGATGAATATTCATATACATAGATATATTTCCACGTATGTGAACACCTCCCCCCGCCTCTCCCAGAAGGAGCACCCAGGCCAACAGATGCATTGAGCATCTGCCCCGAGGCCGTCCAACGGGAACGCACACCAGCATCGGTGGGGTGTTTAAACACACACAGAAACATAGCACTACGGGTTTCTAGAGTGAGCACTAGAATCGGTTTGATCATGACTGAATATGGCCCTGTAGAAAGAAGGAAAGTCCCATGACTCTCCCATAAGCAGGATCAGTCGCACAGGCATGGTCCCTTCACTGCGAATCTTGCTGGTTCCTCCCCGTGCTGCTGCAGCTGTGGTCTCAACACTTCTGCCTCAAGCATCAGCGTTGGTTTCACTATGTGGCAGTGTAATCTGAAAATCCACTGGTTAGTCTCAAAAGCTAAACCAGTTTCTGATGCAAAGAAGGTCACTTAAATCCACTGTCGGCAGGTTTGAAAACTAGTCCAAAATACCCAGAAAATGAATTCTATTACAAATTGCTCTAAATATTAGTGAAAGATTCAAGGGGGGTTTGGAGAGAAGTGGAAGGTGTGTATACAATCGTGTAAGAAAAGCAAGGAATTAATTGGTCTTTTTGCATCACAGAGAACATTCTCCAGTACCATTCTCCTTAGTACCACATTAAAACTGTTAATAAATCATATAAATTAGAAACCCAATGCATCACCTAAATGCATCTGTTTGCAAGGGCAGGACTTCCCCTGACTATATTCTGTAGTGTTTCATGTTTATAAATGTCTCTATGAACTCTGCAGGGAGACCATTTCACAGGTTCATGGCTAGAAAGCTTTTCCTGATTACACTTGGCTCTGTTCCCCTGCCTTACATTATTTTCATTTCTAGCTATCGCCTCTAATTTCTTCTGTTACCACAATGGCTAGGATGTTTTTCCCTAGTTTTTCGCTGTCTGCAAAGGGGAGGGATGAACAAATGTGAGGAACAGTGTACCTGTCAGCAATATGCTATAGCAAGGATCTGATTCTCAACAGTAACATTTCATGCCATTTCATGGGTGCAGCCATGGCAGAATACCAGCCATTTTCTCACGATGGGCTTACCTAATTTGTGGCTTGGCAGAAAACTCCATACTTTGGTCCTCAGAGAATAAGAACTGAAATTTAGGCATGCATCAAAACTGGTTTAGTTCTTTAAAGCTGCTGAGCAAGCACTGTTTTCATGGACTTCATTAGGAGAGCTAGGCCACCTATCAGTAATTACATAAGGATTCTGCAATCCATTTTAACCTTTTAATACTGGCACTTTCGACCACCATCCTTTACCTTCTCTACAGCCAATCGAAAAAAACGTGTTCCAGACAAGAGCTCCATATGTTTGCCCTCGCTGAGCAGCCACAGTTACCTTATGGTGTTTTTAATACCCTATGGATTCCTGGCAGCACCTTAAACCCCTTCTGAGACTCGGAGAAACTGCACACCTCGTCTACACATCTCCCTTGTACTTATCCCAAACTCAGCCTGACCTCTGATTGACCACCAACCCCATCTGACCTGGAGGAGACAACGTTAGGGTTGTCCCGGGGCCTTGGGCTGGTCTGGCTGTCATGCACCAGGGTTACACGGACTGATAAGACACGTGGTGAGGGCCAAGTCTTCCAAAGCACACCAGGATCCATCCACAGCGGGATTTTTATCCAGAGTAGCCTGGTGTTTCTTGCTAAAGCAGGCCAGCTGGGCTGCTCCAAACCCGTCCCTGACAGCTCTCCAGCAGGTGAGTGAGGTGGTAGTAACTCAGGTACACTTGTAGCCAGTGAATCTAGTATGAGTGTTGTCTAGAGTGCTAGCAGACAATAAATATTCCACCTTTTGCCAAGTCCTGCAGAGTCCTGAAGACACAGGGTGAAGGTACATCACCACTGAACCAATAAAACTATACTTTGGACCAGCCAGTCTCTCTTTAACTCTCTCTAAAACATCTCAGTAGAAAATAAGCCATAATCTATAATAAACAGAAAAAAATAGGACAGACTCTGTCACAAAAAATCACACGGTCACAAAATAATTACATCATTTTCTTGTTAATCACTGAATCCATGTTTATAATTTGGTCAGATCATCCTGTAACCAGTCTGTGATCATGGCAGCCATCTCCTTGCTGGCATCGAGCACAAAGGCGTGGCGGAGCCCTTTCTCACAAAGCCGAATGTCCCCGTCTGGAAAATCCATTTTGATCTCATCGTAGTAGTGCTGTGGACACCAGCTGTCTCCAGTTCCATAGTAAAAAATCAGCTAGAAATCAAAGCATATAAAATCTTTAACTTGAAAAGTTACTGATGAATCGACCAATATCCAAACAAAGAGCACTGAATTATTTGGAAATAAGTGATGCTTCATGACCTAAGATATACTGTGAGGAACAGCAAACTGGCAGTTCTCGGTTGTTTTCAAGTCTGCAATTTGATGAAGCCAATTAAATGCTCTGTGACTCGGTTTCCTCACCTGTAAAACTGTGGAACACAATACAGGCTTAACTCTGACAACAGAGATCTGCTGATGAAAGTCTGGCTGTTTTAAGAAATTCGTTATTATGGATCAAAACATCTAGCTGTCCACAGAGTCCACCCCTGACCAGGCAAGCTGCTGTGTTTTCCCTAGCTATTAGCTTTTTTCTGTGCTAGATTTCTAGCTATTTAATCAAATAGCAAAATTACCAGTAAACTTCATGCTGTGTCCCAGCTGAAGGGGCTAACCGTTATGGCTTTCTTCTGGATATAAACGAAGAGAAAGTAGGAGGCTACTCCACATTTGTGAGTAGCTCAGTCTTACTGTCATCTGTTAGGTGTGATCTCTGCCTTCCTGGCTGGGGCCTTAGGTGGAGGAGCACCTATTTTTCTTGACCTTGGTGTTAGATGTAAACCAGAAGTTATTCGCTCAGTCATGTCAGAATAACAGCAATTACGGTCATTCTCAGATGCAAAACTTTTTTTGCTTGGAGAATTTTATAATCATAGAATCTTAGAATCATAGAAGAGTTTGCGTTGGAAGGGACCTTTAGAGGCCATCTAGTCCAAACCCCCTGCTATAAGCAGGGACATCTACCACTAGATCAGGCTGCTCAGAGCCCCGTCCAACCTGACTGTGAATGTTTCCAGGGATGGGGCATTGACCACCTCTCTGGGAAACCTGTGCCAGTGTTTCACCACCCTCACGGTAAAAAATTTCTTCCTTGTATCTAGTCTGAATCTCCCCTATTTTAGTTAAAAACCATCACCCCTTATTCTATCACAACAGGCCCTACTAAAAAGTTTGTAGCCACCTTTCCTACAGGCTCCCTTTAAGTACTGGGTTGTAATGTGGAACTAAAGTTCTACTAAAGTCCATTTTGTTTTGATCTTGCCCTAATAACCTTGTTCAATAACTTCTATGAAGCAGGTGCTACAAGGCCCACCTAGATGCAAAAGTCATAAATTCCAGGCAAATATCATAAAGTGTCTTTTCTGTCTGTTAGGAACACTGAATGCTGCCCTTTCCCAAGTCATAATTTCCCCCCATTTCTGTCTCAACTTTGCATACTATAGCTATGTTTTCTAATTTCTATAAAGTATTTGAAGGGAGAGTGCCTGTCTGGGAGAGAGTAAAAACCTACAGATTTAAAACTATACAGGAACAAGATTAATGTCGAGGACTCTTTATACTGAAATGTTTGAATGCAGGTACCAGAAGGATGTTGATTGCTCAACATGTCCCACACAGAGCTTGGCCCAGCTGCGTTACTCTCATTTGTTTCATATTTCATTTGTGTACTTCAGTGAATAATTGAGCAACGCTGACATAAATTAGGGGACAAGAAGTTTTCCTTTCATCACAAAAATCTTCAATTCCATCATTTTTGTAGCCATGTGGAATATAAATAAATGCACCCACTGGGGCAGAGGTGGGCTAAGAGCCCAGATTTCATTTCACAAGATGTTACAAGTTTTCATCTAACTCGTTTTTCTCTTGTTGAAGTGTACCCAGATCTTGGATATTGCTGACTATCGGCTGTATCCAAAATATAATACCTCCATTGCATAGACACCAACCCAAGTTATACTTCTATGTATATGTAAAACATACAACATAAACCACCCCATGTTAGCAAATAGTATTGGTTTCCTTTGTCACTCACTAATTGCAGGAAACAAGGTATGTTGTTTGCTTTAGTAGAAAATTTCTTTTGATCTTGCCTTCGATTTATAAATCACAGGATGTCACACTAGCAAAAATTCTTCAAAAAAGGCAACGTAAAACGGCCAGCTGCATTCAGGCCTTCTGAAAGCCAAACATCTGACTGAATCATGTTTAACCCTGGGCTCTGTTACCAACAGATACAAAAATAAAGGTTATGAAACTGAGAAAAAAAGAAACGGAGCAACTCCAGTTTAATGGAGTAGTCCCTGAAATTATTAGATATTTTGATAGTCTAGTTGTCGAGTCTCATCACATGATCACTTAGAAAAAGATGAAAAGTCATTTACGCTTACAAAGGTGGATAAAATACTTGGCTTAGTCTGCATGAACTGTGGAATCGGCTGTTCTCCAGGTAGGGCTGTAAACTTGAGAACTCACAGATTTGGAAATGCCTAAACAAAAGATTTATGTGCATTCTTAGCTTGCCTCTGCTATCTTTGCATTGCGCTTTAATCGTTCATTGCATGATCCAAAGGATCCTTGACTCATTCAATCCACTGACAGGATGATGTTCAGCTGATGAGCTGCTATTTGATAGTATTTTTCATTTTAAATTCTGTGTGTGGTCTGAGGATTTATTTACTACATATTTCATGGTTTACAGACAGAATTTATTTTCTTATGTGCATTCCTCTGGCACGCACCACTACAGGATTTGCATGCTCACATTTATTAATTTAGTTTCGCAACACCTTAGTGGCCATTTTTATCCCCATTTTGCAGATGGGGAGCACAGATATTAATGTCAAACTACATACATTAATTTGAAAGTATGTAGTGTGGTCTGAAACACCTACAGCTGGTTTTCCAGCGTGTGTAGCGTTACACAGTATTGACTATGCTCAATGGAGAGCACGCCTGGACTTCATCTGCGGGTGCTCTGAAACACTGTCTATCTGTCTGTAAAACAGACTTCAAGGTCTTAAATGAGATACTCAGGAAAGCGAGGACAAAATCTGACCATCTATGAAAGATACTGACTTCACCAACAGCTCATTCCTGGATGTGAAGTTTAGGTGCCTTTACTATGAAGCTATCCATTTTTACTTCATATTGTTTTCCGTTTCTTTCAACAGGCATTTTACTGCTTCTGCCACAAATAAGGTAGGAGTTCTCCATCCTGCTGTCTCCTTCATTACACAGCTCATTTGATTAATGAAAGAGGAAAAAGGAAAAGTGATGTTTTAATAAAAGATCAACTCTCAATGCATACATAAAAGGCATCTGAATTGAGCTTAGCTTTCCCGAGCTTTGAAATGCTTGGTAATGCAGTATCAACTGGTTTTTGCAGAGCTTGTGTATACAGTCAGCTAGACTTCAAGGTGGTAAATCAAAACCCAGGTATTTTCCATGTGGCACCTACATGTATTGGCAACAGTGTTTGCACCTCTAGTTCTGCTGCGTTAGGCCTCTGTCCCTTAAGGTAATGGTGTAACTGAAAGAAGTAGCACTGTCAGCTTCTGGCCAGAGGAACACGGGACACCTTCCTGCTGGGTGTCACACTCGGGGTGTCCAGCACAGAAATTAGTGACTTAGTTTGGGTCTATCATGTGCTTTTGAAGCAAATTACATGTTTGTCCAGATTTGCCTTGCTTTGCTGCATATCATCGAGTAGTCTTTGACTGTATGAACTCCTTTCAACTGAAACTAATGCAAAGACGCTCTTCAGGATCACACTTAGCAAACTCCAGTCACCAGCAGACATTCAGTCCATGGGACCAGACAACTGCTGGCTAAAGTAAAAACCCTCTGAGATGCCTACATTGGGAACATCAGGTCCTCACCACTTACTATTTATCTCTGCAAATTGTCTTCTAGCGTGCTGCTCCCGTTACTAAGGCAAACATAGCCAAAGGCACCTGCTGAGAACAGGAATGAAAACATTTTGGAAATTCCGGTTCCATTCCAAGCAGAAAAGGGCAGAATATTTAGCAGCTACTGGCCTCGCTGGCCAGTTGTTTGTCCAATCTGTCCAAGTATGACGACTTCTGTCTTGTTCCTTTCTGGTCTCACGACTGCTCTACCTCACGTTGGCTCATTGCTTCAACTCTATTCTCCTTATCTAGTCATTTCCGATTTCCACTACTTCTGCTTCTTATTCTAGTCTCACATTCTTGCCCTACCAAGTCCAAATTTTAGTCTTCTGGTTTCTCCATCCCATTCCGAGTCTCAGCTGGAACCCTAGCTGTTTTTACCCCCAGCAATTTTATCAGTTTGGAACCAGTTCCCAGCACCGCTCCTCAAATGTCTCTCAAAATATCAGTCGTTCCTAGTGTCTAGGTTCTGTTCAGTTCAGCATAAAACCACCTAAATACAGGTAACTGTACTGTGGTGTTTACATGTGTACCAGACATCCAAATTCCCACCACACAGTCAGGAAAGATATATTCAGTAAAGCTATCGATGCTTAGAAAGCTGTTCAGCTGAAACAACAGGTGTCTACAGTAAGGTGGGTGAGGCTGCACTTCAGGCTTCACTAAGAACTCAGCTGCTTAAGTGTAGGAACCTAATGCCATTTGAGATGCTCTAGATATCAGAGATACCTGCATGAGACTGGCAGGTATGACAGATTTTATGAGACCCACAATTTTCTGGCCAAACAGCTGGAGGCCAGACAGGGGATATTCCACAGTGCCCAAAATCAAACCAGATGTCCATGTTTAAGGGCCAAATTCCACCGTGCCTTCTTCAATGGATTTCTGTTGACCCTAATGGGGTCACTGGCACCTCTGATGCCTACTGCACCTGTAGATTCCTACAAGTAAACTCACCAAGCATGATTCTGGTGCCCATACATAAATACCTGGTAGTGTTAGGTTAAGGGTTGGACTTGATGATCTTCAGGGTCTTCTCCAACCTGAATGATTCAATGATTCTATGATCCGACACAACTTCAGATTGCTCTGGTAGCATATCCTGTTTGGTTTCCACTGCTGCTACAGGCAGCTCGTGTGTCTCATATGCCAGTCTTGCTTAGGTAGCTCAAATCCACCACCTCCAACATCACCAGAAGCCTACCTCTGGCCAAACAAATGGAGCCTTTGGTTCCTCCTGCCTCT